CAAACAGAACCCCTGCTGGAGTGCGGCTCTCTGTCTCCCGTGGCCAGTCTCCCCCGCTTCAGGAATCCCTTCTTGCTCTCCCCCCTCAGCAATTTTCTCCCTCTTGCCCTCATCCCCTGCCTATGACCTATGTGGTCCCAAAGGAAATAGTTTGACCAAGAAAGATGAGACAAAGATTGAGGGAGCAAAAGGAAGGGGGAAAAAAGGAAACAATGAAAATCCCTTTTTTTTTACAAAAATGTTGTTCTCAGAAGCTCTGCACAGGGTCACGCTGAGTGGGCACCAACTTGACGGTGCTGGACTTGGGGGGCTGTAGTTCTCTGAGGCCACAAGATGACCTGTGACTTCTACAACGGTCTCCCTATTACCACATCCAATTTATGTCAATAATTCATGATTATTGTTTTGTTGTTGCTTTCTTAGCATTATATTTTCCAAAATGCTTTATAGTCAATTACCTGCAAGACTGACAGTCTAAAACCATGTCACAAATAATACGTATTTGGTCGCAGGGAGACACTCATATTTGGTGGTGGTGCCGCCCTGTGATCCTCCTGGAAGCTCCCTTTGCTGTGATTGACACTTGCACTGTGATCACTCTCCTTAGAGGATCCAAGAATCCACTTATTTCTTAAAACAAAGAGATTTGGAAATCCTGAGCATATCTTTGATCTTCCACCCACTAGAGCCAAAGCCCTTGACCAAGGGGACCCCTATGACTTTTGGTTCATTTGTGCATTCATTCATTCAAAAATGTCATCAAGTACTCTGGAAGCCTTGGCCTCAGAGAATCAGCTGCGAGAAGTGTGTTAGTCTGGGTACATTAGAGAAACAAATCCACAGAAACTCATATGTGTAAGACAGAGTTTTATATAAAGGGTAAGTGCACATCAAGAAAACATCCCAACCCAGTGCTGCCCAAGCCCACAAGTCCAACATTAGCCCATATGTCCAACACCAATCCACAAAGTCATCCTCAATCTCACAAAACATCCAATGATGCTGACTGCAGGAGGAAAGCCGAGTCAGTGAACATGTAAGCATATCAGTGCTGGCGCTGGCAGGGGTCTCCTCACGGCTGCTCCAGCACCCAGGGATGCATCGAGGTAGGTCCATGTGGCTTCTCCTCAGGAATGTCTTGCAGGAAGTGAGCCTTACCACTGAAGCAGGAAAATGGTTAAGGCAGCTGCACCTTGGTCCGACCATCACAAAGCAAGAGACCCGAGACCAAGAAAGGTGAGGCTCACTGAGCCATTTATCTCTCCGCCCTTCAATTAACCCCACATGTGTTTATTGGCCAGGTTGGCACAATGAACTTTAACTAACTCAGAAGCATCTGCCCTTCTTGTAATGTTCTCAGTTAAAAGGACAAATCACAATAATTTCCAGGCCTACCCTTTAATGACCATGACTTCACCCTCTGTTTTAGGAAGGTGCGGGGAGCTTGGAGAGTACACCTCAGGCTCTTTTTTTGCCCCCTTGGGAAGTAGAATTGTGGGTGGTACGTTTATTTGGGTCAGAAAAGACTTTCGGTTTTCCTTCATGAATGCAGTCAGAAAACTCACCCAGCATTGGAGTCTTGGTTATCCAGTGCAGCTACGACAGACGCCACAAGTGAGCGAGGAAACCACCAGGAGGTCTATCCCACAGCGGAAGCTGGCACCAAGGGCGTCAGTGACTGGGGGACCAGAGGAGGTAATGGTGCTATGGGCGCTGGGGTGTATTTTAAAGGAAGCTAAGAGCTTCTGTGGTGAGGGGGGAAGAGAGAAGGCAAGGATGACTTCAGAACCTCAGCCTGAGCAAGTGAACCCCAATGTGTCTAGCTTCTCTGGGAAGCTTCAGGGAACTCCAATTCCCTCGTTCTCCTTACATTTCCTGTAAGGAGATCGATGGCCTGGGAACCGCCTAGCTGACCTGCCCCTCAGTGCAGCTCTAGCTGGCATATCCAAAATGATTTTAAAAAATTAAAATAAATAAGAAATTTAAAAACAACAACAAATTGTTTGGGATCCGTTGAACTTAGTTAATGGTGCTGAAGTGTTTTGAATGGTAGCATAACATTTAAAAATGCAGTCAATGTCAAAAAAAAAAAAGGTACCAAAGTCAGGCTATTCCTCCACCACACATTTCCATTTCCAAGCGCTTTCTAGAGTGGAAGAGAAAAGGGTGCCGCCAGAGCACTTAGGCCATGTCCATCCCCACCTCCGCTCCCTGCTGCTGTCCACCCAGAAAGACTGTCCTCCTCTAATTGCTCCACCAGGGGGAAGACGCCTTTATGAAAAGGCCGTGGACAGAAATGGAGTGTGTGCTATTTTGAAATACTCTCTGGACTCTTGGGAATAAAGATGTAGGGGTATGTCTTGCCTGTGACCATTGCCCTTCATGTGCTTCTCTCAGTGGGAAAAGAAAACATTTTCAGGGGAAAGCATTCAAAGCAGACCGAGTTGCCTAAGGAAATGAACAATGTGCCGATTGTACAAGAGGGAGAGCCCTGGTGGTGTAATGGGTGAGGTGCTGGGCTGCTAACCACAAGGTCAGCAGTTTGAAACCACCTGCGACTCCACAAGGAACAGATGAAGCTTTCTACTCCCGTAAAACTTTACAGTCTAGGAAACCCACAGCAGCAGTTCTAGTCAGTCCTGCAGGGTCCCTATGAATCAGCGCCAACTCGACAGCGGTGGCTTTGGGATTGTATGAGGAGAGGGGGATGTTCTCTTTAGCAGATTCCTTGTTTGACATGTGATCATACGGTATTGAAAAGAACCACAGGTCATCTCTAGAATCGTTTTCTCAGCTTGAAGATTAAAGATTGAAATCTGGCTGTGTTGGGGCTCTCACGCCTTGGGCAATGGAGAAGTGCTAGCTCCTGGGTGTTTATCAAGAAAGACACTCATGAAGGAAGTCTTGACCAGGAAGAAAGCAAGGGACCAGAGTGTACCACATCCTAGGTGCTGATGAATGCTTCCTGATGGAACGTGAGGGGGAAGAAACAAGTGGGGCACGTGGTCACTGCTGACTCAGCAACCCCATGTATCAGAGTAAGATTGCACTCCAAAGGGTTAGCAGTGACTGATATTTTGGCAGAAGATCACCAGTCTTGTCTTCCAAGGTATCTCTGGTTGGATTTGAACCAACAGCTTCGTAATTGAGTGTTTGTGTTAGTCAGGATGGACTGGAGAAACAAATTCATAAACAATCATATGTATGTAAGAGAGAACTTTATGTCGAAGGGCAATTGTGCATTAAGAAAACATCCCAGCCCAGTCCAGATCAATTCCATGAGTTCAATATTAGTACCTAAGTCCAATATTTGCCCATGAATTCCTCTTGAGACTCACACAACACTTGCAATGAGGCTGAATGAAGGAAGATCATGGGCCAGTGGGTGGAAAGTCTGTGGATCCGGTAGCAGTGGAAGCATCTCAACGTTGGCAGGGGTCTCCATGTGGCTCCTCCAGTTCCAGGACTCTAGCGTAGCTCCATGTGTCTTGTCAATAGGAATGTCAGGCAGGGAGTAAACATGTATCCCGCTTCCAGCAATCTATTTATCTCCTTAGCGCCTCCAAATAAGGTCATCAAGCTGCGACCTGATTGATAGGCTAAACTCCACCCCTTCACTCTTGATAGTGCAAAAATCACAGCAGATTATGTAACTACCACAGTGCTTAATCATTTTTAACACCCAGGCACTCCTTGAGCAAAAAAAGAATCCCTAACATTTTCCATTCGTTAAATATATAAATGTAAAATGTATATATAAATACATAATGGGTAGACCTATAAAACAATGCTGTATATCATGCTCTATTCTGGGTGTTGGACAAGCACTGTCGAATCCCCAGGCATCATGGAGCTCAAGGAGAAGAAAAGACGATGACCAGCAAACAAGGGCATGAAGGACAAATAGGAATTAATTCCAGAGACCAGCACTGGGGCAGACACTGTGTCTGTAAGGAGCAAGCATTCTAGGTGAGCCCTGAGGTAGAAGTGGGGGGTGCAGATGGTCCATTGGGGGCCAAGATGTTGTATGGTTGGAAAATTCTGAGAGACAGCCAAACTTTGGATAAAGCCTAGATTCTATTTTTAGCTATGTGCACTTGGTGTGAGGGCAGGGGTAAGTATGGGGACTAGAATAGCCCAAACTCTGTATACTCAAAGCCATCTTTACTGAATTAGGCTGTGCTGGTGGTGTAGTGGTTAGGCACTGGGCTATGATCTGCATAGTTGGCAGTCCAAAACCACCAGCTGCTCAGCGGGAGAAAGATTGGGCTTTCTACTCCCATCAGCAGTTACGCTCTTGGAAACCCCTAGAGGGTCACTATGAGTCAGCATTGGCTCGGTGGCAGTGGGTTTGGTTTGGGTTGTGGTGAGTTGAATCGTGGCTCCCCACAAGAGACAATAGAGGAGGGAAGACGGGAAAAGTGACTGTCATTTAAACATGAAGACAGAGATGGGATTTATGCCGTCACAAATCGAAGGTCACCCAGAGCCGCCAGAAGCTGGACAAGGCGATGAAAGGTTCTCTCCCAGAGGCCCCCCGGGGAGCACAGTGCTGCCAGCACGCAGGTTTCAGACTTCCAGAACTGTGAGAAAGCACACTTGTTCTTAAACCCTCACATTCGTGGTCATAATTTGTTACGGCAGCTGCAGGGAACTTCTGCAGGCCGTTTGGCATCTGTGAAGACCATCATGTGCTAGACCGGTCTTTTGCTTCCCCCATTAATTCAGGTTCTCTCGTGATTCTTACAGAAGCTTCCGAACTCAGTTCCATCGCCGAACGTGAAGATGCCCTCCTTAGACACTTATTCCAAGATTATCAGAAATGGGCTCGCCCCGTCTTAAATTCAAACGACACCATCCAAGTGCATTTTGGATTGAAAATATCTCAGCTGGTTGATGTGGTGAGTAACACTTGGAGTTCTGTGCAAAAGAGCCTGCGGCCCTTAGCCTGTTCGTGGAGCTAAGATTTTACCTTGTTTTCTTTCCCCGGGTCTGCCTTTTGCAATCTCAAAATACATTTTCTCCTGTATATGAAATCCAGGAAAGATTACTCTTTGGAGACAGTAAGAAGATTATTGGCTTCTTGGGGGCATGTCAGGGGAGGTTTGGGGAAATAGGGGGTGGGGGGGACTAATGTCAACGAGAACAAGAAGGAAGAAAAAGTTCTAGAACTGATTATGGTGGTGATTGCGCAACGATTTTTAATGTGTTTGAACTATGCAATTGTTTGATGTGTGAATTATATGTCAATAAAATGATTAAAAACAAAACCAATTTTCTGTGAGAGAAAGCCAGGCGCAAGAAGCCAGTGAAATGGCCCACGGGAGGAACGGGGAGTGTCCTGGAGGAACATGTGCTGTGGGACCTTTTCTCTGGGGGTGGAGGCGGTGGCCTTGAAGGGATTGTCCTGTGTGTCTGCAGAGCAACAGGGCGGGGAGTGAGAGGAAAGGCAGGGGTGGTGGAGCGTAGCCTGGGCTCCTTCTGTCATTGGTGGGAAGGAGCAGGCAGGGTCGCCTGCCAACAGAAATGACAGAGACTCCGAGGCCATCCCTCCTCCCAGTCCCTGGGGCTCCTCTGCCAGGGCACCCCGTCCCCTTCCTGAAGCCCCTCACACACTTCCCCTTGCCGGCACCCACACCTGACCATTGTCAGCTGGGTTTCCACTTCTGCCACAATTGTGTTCCTGGGGACATCAGTAAACATCGATCCCCAAATGCTGTAAAATCCTCCTGCTGTGGCCCCCTAAAGCCCAGACTAAAACTCCAGCCAGGAGCCATTGTGCCATTCCAACTCATGGTGCCTCATGTGTGTCCCAGTAGAATGATCTCTGTAGGTCAGTGCTTCTCAACCTTCCTCAGGCTGCGACCCTTTCATACGGCTCCTCATGTGGTGGTGACCCCAACCATGAAATTATTTTCATGGCTACTTCATCACTGTCATTTTGCTACTGTTATGAATCAGGCGACCCCTGTGAAAGGGTCGTTGGACCCCCAAAGGGGTCACACCCCACAGGTGGAGAATCACTGGGTTAGACTCTGCTGCCCTTGCCTCTGTTTAAGTTGAGAATCATTTCACTCTGGGAGCATCTCAAAGGTAACAGTAAGACAGGTCTTTCAAAACAATGATAAAAGTTCAATTTACATCTTATTATTATCCTGGTGAAAACCTACGTAGCCTAACTACATCTTCTCCACAGTGGCTACACATCTGATTCATGGCAGCATTTACAATCTCTTTGTCACTGTCCTTGTTTTAGGATGAAAAGAATCAGCTGATGACGACAAATGTGTGGCTCAAACAGGTACATAACAAAAGACTCCATCTGCCCACCTGGTACTTTCCTTGCTTTTTGCTTGTTTATTTAGGGAGTCTCCCATTTGGGAGGAACATGAAATAATGGGTTGTTTTTTCAAAGAGTCTCAGAGGTGAAACGGTTGAGCTTGTGGCTGCTCATCAAAAGCCCTGTGGTTTGAACCCCCCAGTGGCTCCGAGGAAGAAAGGGCCTGGCGATCTGCTTCTGTGCAGACAAGTCTGTGCTGACTCAGAGCAACCAACCCTACAGCAACCCGACAGGCCCGGGAGAACAGCGCCTGTGAGTTCCTGAGACTGGAATGCTGGTTTTGTTTTTTTTTAGGGAGAAAGATCTGCAAACATGATATTTGTTGTTTCAAAAATAAATATATAAATAAGAAGAATATATTTCATACA